GCTGGGCTCTTCCCTCCTGACCTGTCCCCAGGCAAAGTGCATCAGCTGATCAAAGTTTATTCAACACCTTCTACCTTCCCCTTTTCTTCCCTGCACACTTGAGAAGAGACACTGCACCAACACTATGGTTTGGGTCTTTTGGTTCAACTAATTTTATGTATTATGAAGAGAAACTCAAAGCAAAGTTCCAAATTCATCATCCCTGGGAGTTGTCTCTTGTTAAACTTCCTGTCTGGTGTCCTGGACTCACAAATTCCAGGATGATTTGATTGTTTCCTCTATTTCATTAATAAAATAAACAAACAAATAAAACACACTTATATATTAACAAATGTTTTTAATAAATATTATATATTAATAAAAGTAATAATGATATCAAATGCAAACCACAAAAGCAGATATATGCCAATCTATTTTATATAGAATATTTCATAATGTCATAGAAAACATAACATAATATACAAATATATAGAAGTATAAATATAATAAAATATAATAACTCCTTTTTTTTTGTTTAATTAGAAACATTCACCTTTCAAAAAACCTGTCGTGGCAACGAGTGTTGCACTGAAATGCCATTGATGTCCAGGCAGTGGGCACAGGCTCTGCCTGAGCTCACCCACAGAAGTGGGAATTTTCCGTTGGATTTAAACTTTGCAGCTCAAATTAATCCCCGGGGCTGTTTCTTTTCCTGTTGTTTGAGTGATTTCTTTGTATTGTTTGGCTGCCATGGAAAAAAAAAATCCCAGTGTCAGTCACTGAGAGGCTGCTCACCCCCCTGCCAAAATCCCAGTCACCCCACGAGCAAAGTTCCCCACTTGCAGGCACCCAAGCCAAGAATTTAGAGCAATCCATGGGAAGAGCAGGGACGGGATGGGGTGGGACGGGATAAACAAGTGAGTCATGGTGACCTCCTGGCCTCAGGCTCCTGGCCCTGCTGTGGGTTGCCCCTCCAGCCACCACCAATCCCTTTGGGATCCCAAATCACTTTGGCTGAGTGTGTTTGCAGAGCTGGTGGGAGCAGGAACCCTTCTGGCCACCAGCAGGAAAAATCAAAATATTGGAACAGAGACATCCCAGGCCTTGGAGGTCCATTGCCAGTCACGTTTTTGGTGATTTGAGAGAGAGTTGTAGTAGAGGTGTCAGGAATTGCACTGTGGCCACGGGAGAGATTGCCCAGAGCCTGGTTGGGATGAGCCCAGCTGGTGGCATCAAAATTCCTGGCCTGACACCTGCAAACTGCCCTTCTATGTGGCCAAATATGAGTGCAGGTGCAGAGGTCCTGGCTGTTCCTGTCAGTGCTGCTCAAACACATCCTGGCCCCTCATCCTGCAGCTGGACTGGGAGATGCTCTGCCCTAGGGGAGTGCTGCTGGCTGCTCTCCACCAGCACCACTTAATTCCCTCTGCTGAGGGTCTCCCTCCTCTGCAGGGACTAGCATGGACCCAAACCTCCACCCTCTTCTCCTCCAGCCCTCTTCTGCAGGAAGAGTCACATCTTTTGTTGGGAATTGGCTTGTGACCAGCTCGCCCTGCCAAGAACCATGTGTGCTCTCGGCCAGAGGTGTGGTGGCTGAGCCTGTGCCAGATGTGCTCGTGTGCAGCCAGATGTGCTGGTGTTCAGAGAAAGACACAAATTGGAGAAGCCCTGAAGAGGCCAGAGGAGCCCTGAGAGGAGTTGACTCCAGACCTGAACAATCACAACACCTTGGGCTGATGTTCCTCCAAAGCCCAAGTAGAACCTCAAAATCTTTCAGAAAAAAAATGTGGGTTTCCTATTTTTTGATCTGTTTTCCATCAGAAAGGAGTTTGATGGGAAATTGTCACCCAGCAGGTACGTGGCCAGCCACAGTGCCACTCCCTTGGTGTCTGTTTGCTGGAACATCTCCTCCTGGGTCACTGCACTGGAGGCAAGGCAGTGACAAGCCGGGCAGTGACCTGGAGGGGACAGGCAAGGCTTGGCCAGGGCAGTGACAGCTTTTTCCACCGAGGGAGTACCAAGCAAAAAGTGCCTCAGTGACCCGAGATTGCTCCCGAGGGGTTTCTCAAAGCTCCCAGCACCCCGGGACAGTCACAGCACGGGGTGGGAGGGGGGTGGCGGGCAGGGATGTCCCTCTCTTGCAAGAGCCCAGAGCCGAAATTGCAAGTCCACCTCCCAAAAGGAATAAGGATGAAGATTCCTCCCAGAAAAAAGGTGTCAGGAGAGGAAGGTCTTGCTACCCGTGGAGTGCGCTGGGTGGCCCCTCAACTGCACCTGAGATCACGAGGCTACGAGCTTTCTTTCCCGGGGAAGAGGGTCTCGGGTTGCCCTGTCCTGCCTTGCTTGCCGGATCCCACCCCGAGGGGCTGCCGTCACCCCAGCATCCCCTGGCACCTCGACATTCCCTGGCATCCCCCGTCACCCCAAAATCCCCCGTCACCCCGACATCTCCCGTCACCCGCCTGGTCAGCGGGTTCTGCCCGCGAGCTGCGCGGCTCTTAGCAGCACTACGGCCGGCGGTTGGATATTTACGGTAACTGTCGCCGAGCTGCCCCGGCGTGGCGGTGACGGGCGGGGACCCCGGGCAGGTGAGCGGCACCGAGCCGGGGCTCCGAGGCGACCACAGGGGCCGGCTCGGTGCCGTGGGGGTCCCCTCGGGACCGGCAGAGGGACAGGGCTGTGCCGGGTCCCCCGAGCTCCGAACCCCTCCTGGTGCGCGCAGCGAGACTCGCGGGGGGCTGTGCTGAACAGGAGCTGACCTGGCCGTGTGCTCGGCTGCGGGGTGACCGCCGACCCTCTGAGGGGTGTTGGAGTGGGGCAGAGATGCTTGAGGTGTCCGCGGACAGCAGCAGGAACTACGAACGTGAGAGGGGCATTCGCTGCGTTTAACCTTCCCTTGTCCTGGGGACAACAGAGACATTAGTCCCCCTTTCTTTCCTTCAGCAGTGTCGTAGCTCTAGTCGTATGACTAGAAAATCTTACGGCTAAAGGAAGAGAAGGTTTCCCACTCTTTTCAGTAAAGCAGTGCTACGTCCTTGGCAGGAGGTGGGTTTTAGAGTCTGGGACAGTCACCCTCTCATGCTATAGGGAGATGTGGAGGAAGCAAAGTGCCTTGTGATAGTAAAGAAAAAACTGCTGCACTTCGTCCCCACCAAGCTCACTCAGGGTCTCCTGTGGCCCCTCTGCCCCCCTGATGTTTCCAGCTGTGGAGAGCCCTCAGTGCTCTCCAGGGCAGGGGTGAGGGGGAAGAGTTGTCATGCTGCCCCTCAGACCCCACTGGTGTGAGCTGTCCCGCCACACCTGGAGCGTTCTCAGCATTTTCCTTTGGTTAATACAGCGCCAAAGTAACGAGCAGAAGAGTCAGACTAACACCAACCAACTCCTGCAGGGCTTCACTAACAACAGTGCTGTGAAGGGCCACCAAAACCCAAACACTTACGGGACTGTGAATTCCCCTGTCTGCCAGGTGATCCACCACCAGCAACGTGCTCCCAGCCCAAAACACCAAGTTCAGGAGGGCCCTGATGCAGAGGACAACTCACCTGTGTTTGTAGCTGATCACCATGTCACCATGGCTCCTGCATCTCTCCAGTCACGCTCTCAAGTCAGCCAGTGCCAGGACTTCACCCGCTGCCTGCCCCTGCAGCTGTCCCTGTACATCCTGGGTAAAGCTGCTCTGATTTTCCCAGGGTGGCTTCCCTTGAGGGTAAGGAATGGTCTCCAGTGTGGACAGGGGTTAGCCAATCTGTCCCTTTAATTTCTCAGGGTTTTTGGATGAAAAATCCCTCAGTGCCTGCTCTGATGTGAACAGTCACTGGGCTTTTCTGGCCGGAGCAGTCAAAGAGGAACGCGAGTGTCGAGCCACAGTACAGCAGGATTTCCTGCAGCTGAAGGTATGGCACCTGGGCTCCTGCCATTATTATGCACTTTAAAAGGAAGGTGTTTTCCTGCTGCTTAAGACTTTACATGGAGATACTTGTACTAGAGGCTGCCTCCCAACTCTGCCAGTCTCCATCTGCATAGCAAAACCAGGTTACCTGTTCACACTGGCTCAAGTAAGCACAAGAGAACAGCTTTTACTGACCTTTAGAGAGCCTGTGACTCCAAAAATGGATCAAAACATTCCTGTCATCAAGAAACCAGAGTTTGGTCACAATGAAAATACTGGACTTCTTAGAATAGTGGGAATTGGGCAGAGCTACAACGGCTCCCTGAGGCAGCTCAGAAATGAGCTTTATTTGCTCCAGAAAGGGCAATGGAAATGCAATGTCTCAGTGAGGAGTGGGAGGTGGTGGTTGGGACACAGGAAAGCAGAATTCATGGAAAAGGCTTGTCCTGGTTAGCAGGACCTGCTGTAAACTGAGAGAGGTGTAAAGGTACATCCCCCAAGAGACAATTTGGAGCCTTTGCATGCTTTGATTTGTGAAGCGAGCACAGAACCTCAGCTCTGTGCTAACCTTCGAAGAAGGCTTCAGGGAAGGTTTCACATGCTCAAAATGAATCTTAAATGTTGATCAAGGTGTTTTGAAAACCTCTCAACTCAATGGGTTTGGGTTCTGAAACAACTGAGTGCACACCAAAGATGAGACGCGCTCAAAATCTTGCTGATGATTAAAAGCTTAAGACTAGAGTTTGGGGAAAAAAAAAAGGCAATTACTTTTCACAAGAAGTTAAACCTTTAGATAGACAAAGTCATAAATGCAAGGCAGGTCTCAAACAACAACAAGGCAGTGTGTGCAGCTCAGCTTTGGACGTAACTTCAGCATCCCATGGACATCCTGAAGCATCAGCACATGAGCAGCTTCCCTCGTGTGCACGGACTCTGCACTTATTGTTGCCTCAACTGGTTTGTTCCAGGAGTTGTGTCCTAGAAAAACCATTCCAAACTATGCTAAAAGAGTCACTGTGCAAATTCCACAGTTAAATGAAAAGGGTGATGTCACTGAAGAGAAAGGCAACAACCTGAAGAGACGCAAATCATCAAAGGTATGTCGGGAGCTGTTTGCCTTCCATGGATCCTGCACTTGAGTATTTGGGAGGAAGAAGGACATGTCTTGGAAGACAGGACACTTCCAAGACGCTTCTTGGAAGACAGTGAATTTGGAGTTGCTTTAGTCTTCTCCCACTCCTGCTTCTGGTTTGCCAGCTTCTGGGGCTTGCTCAGCACCTTCTCACACGGGAGGGAGCCTGCATTCCCAAATTCCTGCCTCATCCTCATGCATCCCCAGTTGCACACAGAGCCCTGAGGCCAGGGGTGCTGCCAAGCCTGGGCCTTCTTCCTGCAAAACAAAGGGTGCAACTCTCAGGGCTTCAGTTTTTGCCACGGAACATGGCATGGGAACAATCCTTGACTAACCAAGGACTTCCTGCACTCTGGGTGTTCCCCAGCAACCCTTTGTGCCTCTTTTGGGCTCATCACTGTAGTGGGGACCAGTGTGTTTCATTCTATGGAATAATGCTGCATTTCTCCTTCCCTCAGTTGCTTTTCCCTATTTTTCTTTCCCTCAGACAGAGGAAGTCAGTCTGCAGGCAGCCTATCGTAATCTGAAAACCAACAACATCCAGCTGGAAGAGAGAAATGTCTTCTGTGGCTCCTACAATACCCGTGTCCTCATGGCCCAGTGAGTAGATGCCTGGCTGTGGGGCCAAACAGCAGCTCTAGAAACCCTGTCCCACTCCCTGTGATCCTTCTGTGAGAAGGCATGGCTGGGGAAGGGTCTCTCAGCATCACTGTTAAGGAATCTCCATGTCAAATCCATTGTTTTAATAAAGATACCAAGAGAAGCTATTTTTAAAGGCAGATGGGTTAGCAATCCATGGTGTATCACCAGGGCTATGGGGCTGGGAGGAGCACTCTCCCCTCTTTAAGCCCACCCCCGTGATACAAAGTTGGGTGTGCAGAGCTAGGACCATGGTTGTGGTGCCCTGCAAAGGATTCACCCACTTTTGCCCGTCAGGTTGCTCAGCTGAGCACCAGAGAAATGCCTGTCTCAGCCTCAGAGCTGTTGTACCTTGCAGCTGGCCAAAGCTCATCTCAGTCACTGTTTCTTATCCAGGTCAGACAACAGAAGAATGATCCATTACAGTGGTGGCAGCTTGGTGGCCGTGGCCTCTGCCAACCAAAGAGTGAGGCTGCTCGGGGTGCCAGCAGGGAAGGAGGTGCCTGCTCTGCTCTATGGCCACGCTGGGAGCACCAGAGCTCTCCACCTCAGTGAGGAGAAAGGGCTCCTGCTCACTGCAGACTTGGACCTCAGCATCAGGTGAGCTGGGGCTGTGCCATGGGGTACCAGCCCCTTGGCAAATCTAGGGAGAAGGGAAGTATAGGGGTAAAAATTTAACACTAAGCCTGACTTGAGCATTCCAAATTCTCTGACACCTCAGTGGGACAACTCCTGGTTCTTACCTTGTGTGTGTGGGAGAAGAGTTGGGCACATTATGTATTAGACAATCATCACAGAATCATGGAATGGTTTGGGTTGGAAGGGACCTTTAAAGGCCATCTAGTTCAACCCCCCTGCCCTGGGCAGGGACACCTTCCACTAGCCCAGGTTGCTCTAAACCCTGTCCAACCTGGCCTTGGACACTTCCAGGGATGGAGCATCTACCAGCTCCCTGGGCAATCTTAGAGGTGGCATCTATGACCTCTCTGAGCATCTTATTAATGAATAAGATGAATAAGCCATCAGTTAAATTGGTCACTGTCTTCCCCCTTTGGTTGCTGCTCTGTAGGTGCTGGAATATACACAGTGGTGCCTGTATGAAAAGCTTTAATGGTCACTATGGGACGATCACCTGCTTGGATTTACACAAAGAGCAGTTTGTGTCAGGAGCTGGAGATGGGATGGTGAAAGGTGAGAGCCAAGACCAGGAGCCTTCAGCCAAAGGCCAACAGTGGAGGATAATGGGCAGAGTACATGGAGCTGTGATGAGTGTGAGTATGGAAGGAAGTGTGTCAGCCAGAGGGTGAATCCCAGTGTCCCATATCTTTCCTTCCAGAAGAGCCAAAGCTGAGACACACAGTCTCTAGCTGTCTCTTTGACTGATTCTCATAATTTCTGCTTTTATTCACTATTAAGGCCTTTGTGGCTATAATGCCAGCCCAACTCCTGGGCAAGTGCTATCAACTTTCAGCTTTGCCAGAGGTGTCCTTGTAGAATAAGGATGGAAAAGATGTGCTATTTTCTGCACTTTACATTCAATTCTTTTGCCATGAAATTACCCTTTTTAAGTCAACGCTCAGCTCCACACAGAGCTGCAGGGACAAGGTGTGACTGTAATTCCAACAGTATTTTTGAATTCAGGTTGTACTCAGCAAAACTCATCATTTGGGCAGATGTATTTTTAATATTTCTCTACTTTGCCCCTAACAGTGTGGAGCCTGAAGAGTGGGAAATGTCTCAAGACTCTGATGCACAACAGTGCTGTCTGGGCAGTGAAAATGGACGGGACCCACGTGGTCAGTGGGTGTGAGCAAGGGCTGGTGAAGGTCTGGTGTGCTGATACAGGTGCTCTGATCAAGGTGAGCTTCTTCTTAGGTGGATCATTTTGTGCTAAATGATCAAAAATCTGTGCTGGTTTATCATAGGTTTTTTTGGTTTTTTTTTGCTTTTGCCGGAGATTTTCTAAAAGAAGAAAATAATCCCCCAAAACAATCCCAAAAGAAGTCTAAACCAATAAAAGAGATCACAAATAATTTAAGAACTGACTTGCAAACAGCTTGATTTTAAGGCAGGGTTTGATTTGCCTTGCTTCACACCCATCATTATTCATTCTCTCTAGATAGGTTCATCTCTGCTCTGGCACAAACATTCAGAACCTGGGAAGAGGGTGGGAGGGCTCGACTGACTTGTGGCTGGACGTATTAAAATGTGGAGGTATCGAAATTTGGAGGCCCAAAATGTAAAACCTGCTCTCAAAACCAGTTTCTAAAGCTGAAGCAGCTGAGTAACTGCTCAGCACTGTAAGGCTTGAGGCCAGAGTCCATAAATTACCTTATCAGGCATCCAGAATTAGAGAATCACAGAATCAGTGAGGTTGGAAAAGACCTCTGAGATCATCAGCTCCAACCTTTGACCCAACTCCACCTTGTCACCCAGACCATGGCACTGATGGCACATCCAGGCTCTGCTCAAACCCCTCCAGGGATGGGGACTGCACCCCCTCCCTGGCATTATGGCCCTTAGCATTAGTCCATATCTGTGAAAGGAGTGAAGCTCTTTACCTGCAGGGAAGAGAGTTGCAAATTGAGGGATATCTCAAATATCTCAGATATCCCATCTCCAGCCTGGCTATTGCAAACTGAGCCCAGCTGGAGATGGGATATCTGAGATATTGTTCCTGGGATCACAAAGGTCTATTTATCACAAACATCTATTTATCACACGTAATAAAGATGCAAAATGGATGTTAATTCCATGCTAGTGGCTCATCAGCATCAACAAGCTCAGAATATTTCTTTTAAGTGACCATAAGACTAACACAGCTATCCAGGGGGTGCATTGCTACAGTAACACCCAATAAACAATCCATTATAGGGCTGGTGTCCTGAATGCCACCAGATACCTCAGCAGCTCTGCTGACAGTGTTGCACCTATCTCTTTTGCTTTGCAGACATTAGAGAAGCACCAAGGCCCAGTGAGCTGCTTGTCCTTTGATCAGTGGCACCTCCTCACAGGAGGCAGCGATGGATTTGTCCTGGGATGGAGCATGTTGGGAAACCTTAGGAAACAGCTAATGGCTTTCTTCCACCCTAAGTAGGAATCAGATGTGTTTCAAGTTGTAGTCAACAGTGTACTAAACCTGCCAAGAAAATGCATCCCTTATAGGAAAAGAAAATGCCTCAACCAACTGTTAGTGTCAGCATTTGAAATATCCTCACTTTCAACAGTTTTCATCCTAAAGGCTGTGCCAGGCACCACGTGATCACAACCAGCATTCCTCAGTTAAGACCTGCAACACCCTGAAATGCAAATCCACAACTACTTGTTCTCAAACAGGGATGACTAAAGACTGAGGGTGCACAGTCCAGTATTCCAAGGATCCCAACCTATGTGCCAGAGGGTATCACCCTGCCCAGTCAGGAACACACTCTGTGTTGGAGGTGGTCCAGTTTCATGCTGAACCTGGCCATTTGTATATTCTGCCATTTTCTGATAGTTTAATTGTATATAGAACTGTGAAAACTGTAGAATCATACTGCTTTCATTGACTTTCCTACAGAAAACTGAAATTTAAAATGCAGCAGATGGCCAGAACCAGGCTGGTTGCTATGGGGAGCACAGAATGGTAGAATCACAGAATGGTTTGGGTTGGAAGGGACCTTAAAGATCATCTCCTTCCAACACCCTGCCATGGGCAGGGACACCTTCCAGTAGAAGGATGCACTGGGCTGGTTGATTTGGACCTGGAGTGATTCTGAAGGACTTCTCTGTTAGAGCTTTTGAGTGTGTTGATGAGCTCCTCAGTTCAGCCTGTTGATGGAATCAGAGCTTTGCATCTCCTCCAGGACAAAATGAGAGTTGCCCGTGTCTCCCTGTGAGAACATGAGGAATGTGCCAACCCTTACCTGCTGTGCTTTCAGGGCAGTTCTGTCTCTGGAGTTCCTCTACCTCAGAGTCATCAGTGGCTGTGCTGACGGAAAGATCCGTGTCTTTAACTTCTTGAGTGGGACCTGCCTGAACGTGTTGGTGGTCAGCAGCAGTGGAGACCCCGTGTCTTCTCTCCATGTGGCAGAAAACAGGTTGGTGACAACAGCTGCCATCGGTCTCTGAACCAAATTAGGTAGATTACACTGTAATTTAAGGAATTGCGTATTTTTCCTTCTCACAAATAACTTTTAAAGGGCTCTATTACTTATTGACTGCTTCACTAATCTGTTTTTGTTCACAATGGCTAAAAAGAGATATAAATTGTTCGTCCAGCAATGCACGATGTCCTGCTTCTATACAACCTAAGATACAGACCCAACTGTAAAGCTGAATTCAGAACCCAGTTTTTTTAAGAGGTTGGAGAATCAGGCCAAGGCCTGACAAAGACTTTCCCTGTCCTACAGCCTCCTTATAAAAGCCATTAATGGAAAATTCTTCCAGGTTCCTGCACCATTAATGAAAGGTAGTTCCCAGCTTTAGTGGAAGCAATAGCTAAAAACACTGCTGTGTTTTCAATGCTGGTTTGGCCACAGCTCTAAAACATGGTAATAAATGGGCAGCTGTGAAGAAAACTAATTCTACCCCAACCAGACCCATCACACCTCTCCAGTCTACACTTTGACATCCCTAAGAATACGGTATTTCCAGTTTCTTTTAGCACTGCAGTGATATAGCTCAGCCCACTGTTGACAATTTTCATCCTAATTAATTTAAAACTAATTTTGCCACAGAGCTGAACGAAAGGAGCCCCGGAGAGTTCATACAGAGCACAAGTTAAAATGTGCAGTGTCTGATTGATGGGGCTAATTGTGCTGCTTCCTTCACCAGGGGATGGGTATCTCAGAGCTGGGGTTCTGTATTTGCACAGAAACAAACGGGTCCCTCAAGCAGGAACTGATGTGTCCGTGGTACTTGTGCCTTTAATGGCTCTTCCTTCCCTTCTCCAGGATGGTGATCAACTCCCCAGCCAGGGTGTTGATGTTCCAGTTCCAGGATGTCACCTGGGACTACTCCTTACCTGCTGACAGGGAGGTGAAGGAGAAGGAGAAGGAGAAACAGCCCAAGGGGAAGTCGAGCAGATCCCCAACTCGGCAGCAGAAAATGAGGAGCCAGTCAGCAAAAGGCCGTGGAACATCTAAATGTATTGCACTCAACCTCTGGCTTTTCTAAAATGAGTTAGAAAAGACTCCAAGGCCCCAGTACCTTCATCCCAGTCAATACACACTCTCTGCTGTTTGTAAGAGCAGTCTGGTAGATGTGCTGCTGCATTTCAATGGTGCTGTCATTTTTAGGCTCCTGTAAAACCTTTATGCCTTTTTAGAAGGGTTTAGTATAAATACAACAGATTTTTCAAGGCAGGCACTGTCATTTTCCAACTGAGTAATAGAGAAATCAGTAGTAGTATTCATACTCTTACAGCTGGTGGGCATGGAAACACACTGCTGATTCAGGGCTTGAATTATTCATTAAAAATACTCTAGAAAGTTATAGAACACCTACATTCAGGATCTGCCATCACTGGGAAATGCAGCTGCATATAAACAGACACCTTTTAAATTGTAACATAGTGATGTCATTTTTTTTTTAAATCAGAGTTATTAAATGCAGAGTGTACCACAAATCTTCCAGCTCCACAATCAAACTGGATATTGTAAATAATCTGATGGGCTAAGAAAGCATTTATGTTTTTAATATGCCATCAGATGCCAACCTCCTGGATGCAGCTCTATGTGGAAAAGATAGGACCTGAGGGAAAAGCTGGAGCTGTGTCAGGGCAGGCTCAGGTTGGATCTCAGCAAAAGGTTCTTCCCCCAGAGGCTGGTTGGGCACTGCCCAGGCTCCCCAGGGCAGTGGGCACAGCCCCAAGGCTGCCAGAGCTCCAGGAGGGTTTGGAGAATGTTCTCAGGGACAGGGTGGGATTGTTGGGGTGTCTGTGCAGGGCCAGGAGTTGGACTGGATGGTCCTTGTGGGTCCCTCCAACTCAGCATATCCTGTGGTTCTTTGATTCTATGATTCTATGATCTACAGCTGTAGAAAAAGGAAACAAACAAGGAGTGGACTATATTTTAACTTTAGTGGCAAAAAAGTATGGGTTGTGTATAGATAGTATGTTTTAAACTCAACATATGAACTCTGTAAGGTTTTCTAGTAATCAAGTGTCCTTGGATTATTTCTAATACTTATACATTTAGAAGCTGTGATAAGAGCAAAACAGTAACAAAGACCTGAAAGCTTATCAGTTGTGGAGATTTTATGTAATAAAGAAAAGTGTATCACCAGCAATGTTTAGAGATGGTTTATTCTTCTCTTTGCCAGCTCCTCCCCGTGAACTGAAGAAATCAGCAGCTTGCCAGCAGCCAGGTAGGACACTAATTCCTCAAAGAAGTGCACTAAGAGAAATGAATGAATTAATCCAAAGATAAAGGATCTCTAGAAGCCAGGCCCATTCTGGGTGACAGGTCTGCAGTGGTAAAACTGATCCTGCAGAGCCTGGGGTGGCTACAGGAGCTGCTTCACATCAATCAAACACACAGGACAAGTCCTCAGCTCAAGCTGTAGGGCTCTGCTATCCAGGTTTTCAGGGTCTCCTATTTTTTGTTTCTTTTATCAGGTGTAGGAGGATTCAGCACCAAATTTATTCAGGCAGTTGGTATTTAATCAATAGCAGCAACTCAAGAATTGTTTAAAATGATACGTAAATTGTGTCAGCCAGCAAAGACATGGCAACCTGAAACTTGAAAATGAGACAGAACTGAGATCACAATAGTGTCTGTGGCCATGTGGCATTTGTCTCCTTTAGTTTTGCTCAGGTGTTTATTCAGAATCTCTTGGGATCTTAAATTTTCAGACATACTCTGGCATCTTCCTTCGGAAGAGCTGTACCCACTGAAAGGCTCTAGCCCCAAACTCCTGGGGTTGGTAACACAGTTACCAACAGCTCTAAATTCTTTTAATTTAGAGAAACAAGCAAGATTTTCGTTAGTTTTTTGCTGTATTCTGCCTTTCTGCACTGTAAATGTTCTCTGAAATACATTTCTAGAGGGCAGAAGTTTCAGGTAACCGGTCTGGAGGAACAGACTTGCATTGTGAAGAAATGCTACGTGAAGAGCGTGACACTGCAAAGCCAAATGACAAATGAATCTCTGTGGCAAAGACGTGGGTCTGAGTGTCTGACACAGTCTGTGTCATTGTCCACAGTTAGTTCTTAGCCAAGGACATCATCACACAGTCCATCCTGGCGCGTGTCACACAGCACAGGTCACTCCCTCACCCCCTGAGCAGCAGAGCCGGGCTATGAAAAGTCTCGTGATTCCCGAGAGCAGCTCTGAGTCGTGATGGTTCCAAGTGATTCCCAGATGCTGGCTGATCAAAGATTTCTACCAGCAACTGACTTGTCTTGAAGCCTTTTCCCAAAGCACAGACTGTAGAACAAGAAGGGGGTGCACGGGGAGAGGTGGTGGGGAACCTCATGGCTTTTAGAAACCATGGTTTCAAACAAGGTGGGCACCAAACCATCCACACACAAACACAGTGCCTGTTACAGAATCTGGCTCTAGTTCATGGCAAGGGACACTTCACAGCTATCCAAGGCAGAATTCCCTCCTTTGGCAGTGTCACAGTGAGGCCAAGGATGAGCAAACAGCAATGGCACCATTGGTTTGCGGCTTCCTACGCTGCCTGTTCTGCAGATAAACGTGGCCTGCCCACGTGTGTCAATCCAGTCCCCATCCCTGGTCTCACTCAAGTGCTGCCCTACCACAAAAACTATCCCCAGCTCCAAATGTATTGCTTTATTTTTGGATACAGATGGTGAACCTGAACACAGCCCTTCTCTCCCTGCGCCTGCACAGCCTGACGAGGCAGAAGACACTTTGCAGCCTGTAAAGAGGAGAAGCCCAAGTCATCCCATGTCCCCTTCAAAGCTCCTCCTAACAATCAGCACACTGCAGAACACCTCCAAGCCAGCCCTAGTCAGCTCCAGCACTGAGCACTCTGCCAAAGCCAGGGAATCATGGAAATGTCCACGGGAACATCAGCAACAAGGCCCTGAAAAGGTACCGATGTCCAAAACCTCTCTGCAACACAAAAAGGATCAGACAGAGCAGCTCCAACGAGCGAGACTGCACAGTGATTCTCTGACTATGAAAACAATTTCTACACCCTTTGAAACCAAAATGCTGCGGCTCAAGCTGAAAAATTCCTTGCACAGCCCCAGTGTGAAATCCTCCATCCCTGCTCCCTGTGTTGTACGTCCCAAGGCTTTGCTGGGAGAAAACAAAGTTCCCGGGGGCCATGGTAAAGCTGTTCCTCTCCCCAGAGACAGGGTTCAGTTCACTGATCTCTGTACAGCTTCTTCTGAGCTGATCAAACCAACACCAGTGAGAAATGAAGTTTCCAGGAGGATAAAGCCCTCTCGTTCGTATAACCCAGACCCTTTCCGGAGGGACGGTGGGTTCAGGCTTCTGACAGCAAAGCAGGCATGTGAGGCAGCTGCTGCAGCTCAGTGCCAGGCACAGCACACAGAGCCCACAGGAGATCAGGAAAGAGCGCGGCAGAAAGCCTGGTTAAGGAAAGTTAAAGGCCTACCTGTGGATTCTTTTACTGGGGAGGGGAAAACACCTGTTCCTGAACTTGGGTATAATGTGTGGGTATAATCCCTCAGTCCAACTAACAACCACTGCCTGAGGATTTTGGTGTCCAGCTGAGTCTGCCATGTCAAGACCCTTGTGCTTTCTAAAGGTAAAAGACATCCCCAGTGTAAGTTTTCCTAAGAAATATTATTGGTATATCCAGCTATTTCTCAAGGCAGCAAAGGGACTGAGCTCTGTCCTGGATTTAACTTGCTACACCTGCTGTTACAACAGACGTGACACTGTTTGACACTAACACAGCTGTGTGCAAATAATAATAAAAATATCTTATTAGAGTTCATGTGGATTGATTGGAGTGTCTAAGATGACAGTGTGTGGATGGAAAACTGGCTGAGCAGCTGAGCCCAGGGGGTGGGATCAGTGGCACGAAGTCTGGTTGAAGGCCAGTAACTAGTGTGTAGTCCAGGGGTTGATATTGGACCTGATTTTGTTTAATATCTTCATTAATTAATGCCCTGGCTGATAAGGAGCCACCCAGGAGTGGCTGCTACCCTAGAGAGGTGCTGCCATCCAGAGGGACCTGGACAGAATGGAGACAAGGGCTGAGAGAGACCTGGGGGAATTCAGCAAGGGGAAACACCAAGTACTGCTCTGGGGAGGAACAGCCCCACAGCACCAGGACAGCTTAAAACTTAATTCTTCTTAAGTATAAAATAAAGGTAAGAGTTTCCAGTTCCCCATTTTTGTTGATAAATGCCTAAAACTGTACTTGGTTGTGGAAGGTACCCTGCCCATGGCAGGGGGGTTGGAACTAGATGATATTTAAGGTCCCTTCCAACCCAAAGCATTCCATGATTCTGTGATTTCCACTAATGCTCAGGACTTAAATTGCCTTGAGCCAGGAAGACAAAAACCTCTCTAGTTGTCCAACTTTGAGTATTTAGGCCAGCATACCATAAATTTCTTATTCTCTTGCATTAGAGGTTTAAGACAGGCCACTCCTGCCCACGGACATATCAAGGGACCTTTCAGCTGCAGTTCTGCTTTGAAATGAAAGCCTCTGAAACTCTCCATACTGTGGGGTTGTGATTAGTTTTGATTTGTTTATTTTAATGTCATCTTCAACTCCCAAAGCCTGGGATTAAGCCAGACCTTGCAATCGTGTAAAATAACAAGAGGGGGGCTGGCAAGTGGCCTGGATCAGCACATCTGTGCCACTGGGACTGTCACTGCCTCAGGGGGCTTTGCCTGGCTCTGCTTTCCAGGCAAGAAGCAGCAAGGATTTCACAGGCAGCCACAGGATGGCACTTTCTCCAAAGAAATCAGGTGTAAGTCCAGCCAGAGGCCCTTTGGCACAACCCCCTTGGGAAAAAAAGCATCTCCAAGAGAGAGAGTGATGGGAAAATATTGCAGAAAGGCTGATGCCTTCTTAGCCGTGCTGAAGTGAGGAGGATCAGAGGGTTGTGTTCCTACTTGGAGTCGATAAATCAGCACCTCCCTCCAGGTGTGTGGGCTCAGGTACTTGGAAGATGCTACAGCCAACAGAGGTGGTGTCAGATCACCTACAGGGCAGTGCTGGACCAAGTCCTGGGATCAGCTTCAGCTCAGCACAGCAGCTGCAAAGATGGGAGAGGTTGTCACAGAGGCACTGGAAGGGAATTAACCTGTGGCAAGATGTCACATGTGGTAGGTGAAGTCACAGAGGTAAATGAGAGGAGGTGGTTTTTCATAGAATTCCAGAATGGTTTGGGTTGGAACAGACCTTAAAGCTCACCCTGTCCCACCCCCTGCCATGGGCAGGGACACCTTCCACCAACCCAGGTTGCTCCAAGCCCCGTCCAACCTGGCCTTGGACACTTCCAGGG